GATTGCCCAACCTTCCTTCCGAGGAGTGGCTGGTGGGTTTGAACCGCCAGCCTTCTGGTTAGCAGGCAAGTGTCTTAGCCACTATGCTACCAGATACTGCCTCGGAAATCCAAGGAGGGGTCGCTATGAGTCGGGGCCGACTCGATGGCACATAACAACAAACAACATTTAAATATAAACACATCACTAAAACAAAACAAAAATTCTCCAAAATCATAATACTAAGAGGTATACAAATTATTTTTTTAATTTTCTTTTCCAAGTACTTATTTTTCAGAATTTAGTTTTTGTTTCCAAGTATCTAGAAAGTACCACATAACCTGGCATTTAATAGATTTAAAATAAAATGCTTTATATTCAATTATTGTATTTTTTCACATTTTTTTTCCACAATGAAATTCTTGATTAGGTGGTGGAATTATTAAAATCCTGTTCAAGATCTCCTTACTTTGACCACCCAAACATCAACAACTTTTCAATCATTTCCACCTTGGCTTCTCATTTACTCATTTGTACAAATAATTTTATGCCTCAAAAGTGTGATATAGCCAAACAGTAAGCTTGTTTTCCCAAATTGGTGAAACAGAGATATTACATGAAACCTACTTCTAATAATCTGTCACACTGGCACTACTGATTCATTTAGGAAAGGAACTGGTCCCTTCCTCCCTCTACATCTCTCACTCTAAAACAGTGGTGCAAGGGGTAGAGTTCGCCTCATTCCCACGTGATACTAGTTTAAACTACAGTAAACTGGCAGTGTCTGGAGACATTTTTGATTGTCACAACTGGGAGGATGCTATGGCATCTAGTGGGTTGTTGTTATGTGCCCTCCAGTCGGACCGACTCACAGCGACCCCTCCTTGGGTTTCCGAGGCGGTATCACTAGGAAAGTAGATTTCCCAGCCTTCCTTCCAAGGAGTGACTGGCGAGTTTGAACCACCAGCCTTCTAGTTAGCAGTCAAGTGCCTTAGGCACTACGCTACCAGAGCTCCTATCTAGTGGGTTGTTGTTGTTGTTGTTTGCGGTCGAGTCGGCCGACTCATAGCGACCCCTCCTTGGGTTTCCGAGGCGGAATCACTACGGAAGTAGGATTGCCCAACCTTCCCTCCCAGGAGTGTTGTTGTTGTTGTTGTTGTTGTTATGTGCCGTCGAGTCGGCCCCGACTCATAGCGACCCCTCCTTGGGTTTCCGAGGCAGTTATCACTACAGAAGTAGGATTGCCCAACCTTCCTTCCGAGGAGTGGCTGGTGGGTTTGAACCGCCAGCCGTCTGGTTAGCAGGCAAGTGTCTTAGCCACTATGCTACCCAGGAGTGTAGGAGCCAAGAAATGCTGTTAATCATCCTACAATGCATAACAAAGAACAGGACCGCTTCCCTACCCTCTTCAATACAATAGCTAATTATCCAGACCAAAACGTCAAAAGTGCTGAGATTGAGAAGCCTGCTCTAACTCTGCAACCTTCTCCCAGTGACCAAAAATTCCTGAAAAGAATCAGGAGTGTCATTCTTTACTCAGCAGTTGACCATTTGGACGGAATTACCCCTCTAAATTGACTTAACCACATTCTTTTTTTGATCCACAATGAGTGAACATTTTAGCAAAACCTGGCAATAGGTGATAGTACGAGGTATACCTTTTTTAATATAAATCCCTTTCCTCCGGACTTACCCTTACTTCCGTGCCTGCTGTTTCCTGTCTCCTGCGGTTGCACTGCCCACGGCCACCCTTAATCTTAATGCCATAGACAGCCCGAAGATGCTGCAGCAAGGCCAACCTTATCAGCCTCTGATCCCACATCCCGGACACTTCTCCCACTCTCTGAGACAGGATCCAGATCTTGATCCTCGTACACCACCAAGTCTTCCAATTTCCAAATACCCTCAGGTTTGCTCTCTGCTTCGCTGCCTTCAGGCCACTTCCGGATCTCCTCAGGCCTCCGGCCCCGGCCACTTCAACGGCTCTTTCCTTGATCTTCTATCCACTTACACAGACTCTCTTTTCTTGGTTCTACGATCCAGCCACACCTTACCCTTCCTTCACTTACACTGACCTTCTTTCTGGTCACCTGATCCTTTCAGCCACTTACACATGCACAGACTTCCCTTTCTGATTTTCTCAGTTTCCGTACCAATGCCTGTTGCCAGCTTCTCGCCACTTCCGGCGACTTCCAAAAGCCCTTTTGTATCCTAATCCTTACTTTGCCTTCTTCGGTTCTATCCTAACAGTAAAGAAGACCCTCCTACTCTCGTAGGCTCAGCTAGGAGTTCGCCTTTCCGTCCCCCCACCCCCACCCCCACCCCGCCTAGCCCAGCCTCCGGACCAGCCGCAGCTCAGGGGCCTCTTCCAGTCCCGGTCCCTGCCCGGGCTGGGCGCCGCCGTCACCCCGTTTCACAGGCTGCTCCCCCCTTCCTCTGTCAGCTTGTCTCCAATCCCTGGGCTGTACATCCTGGTGCGCTCACAGAAGCCAAGAACCTCTCCTCATGCCTCCGCCTCCACCGCCTCTGCACACACCCGGAGCCACCTCACCGCGCCCGTCGCACCACAGTTCCAAACTAGGCTCAAAAGACAGCGCCAAGCTGCGCTCCGCACTCTGATTGGCCCGCTACTCTTTTCAAAATCAGGACCTCAGAAGGTGGCCAAAAGCTGCCTGTTTAGGAAATGCGGACAAAGGCGGGCAAGTGAGTGTGGCCGGCAAACCTAAGAAATGTGAAAAGAAAGATGAGTTTCATTTGCTCTTCCACAACCATATTTTTGGAGGAGATATTGTTTAAAGTGCATCTGAATATTGTAGATCTGCGCCTCAGATAATATATTTGGGCAAATATAAAAGACATCATTTTTCTGATCTTCCCTGAATCTGAAGGCCCTCTTACAGAGAAACTCTGAGACCCGAGGTGAGACTGAGTTAGGATTCACGAACTCTGAAATCGGTAACCGTAACCCTAGGGCCTTGATGGAAACTTCGGCTGTGATAACTGGTCCATATTTGGGGGACTGATGGTGACAGTTAAATCTTGAATACCCGTTACAGAGAGCAGGGCGCGGGAGGAATCTAAAGCCTGAGGGAAGCTGCCGCTAGAGAAGGTTCGTCCAGTAGGAATCCGAGTTAGGAGAGCATCGCAAAGCCTGGCTCCGGGCCTAGAGATGGCTGCAAGCTTCGTTATCTTGACTGGTTTGGACTGCATTGTGCCCACTTTGTGCCTCTGGGCTGCTTTTCTAGTCTCAAACGTCAGCGATCCTATTAGGTGTTTTTTTTTTTTGTTTTCTGGGGTGTGTATACAACAATATTCATTAGGGCGAGAGACTTGGATTTATTTAAACAGTATGTATTTACTACCACTCTAAAACAAACCAAACCCATTGCTACTGAGTCGATTTCGACTCCAGGGAACCTGTAGGACACAGTAGAACTTCCCTATAGGGCTTCCAAAGCTATAAATCTTTCCAGAAGCAGACTGCCACATCTTTCATCTACAGAGTGATTGCTGACCTTTCGGTTTGCAGTTCATTGCTTTAACCACTGTGCCACCAGAACTCATACTATCACTGTCCCCTTGTAAATTTGATAGGAGCAGCGACAGAATTTTATCTTCCTTGTCCACTGTCGTGGGAGCTCTGGTAGCATAGTGCCTAAGGCATTTGACTGCTAACCAGACGGCTGGCCGTTCAAACCCACCAGCCACTCCTCGGAAGAAAGGTTGGGCAATCTACTTCAGTAGTGATGCTGCCTCGGAAACCCAAGGAGGGGTCGCTATGAGTTGGTTCGACTCCATGGCAATGGTTGCCTTGCTTTTGTTGCTTGTCCACTGTTGTATCTCCTTCGCCTATAATGAATATTTGCTGAATGAATACATTTAAGTCGGGATTGTTTTCTTAGAATCATTTTGCCCCTTTTGGGGAACAAGTCCTTAGATGTGTACTCTCCCAATTCTAAAGAAAATTATCTGACTGAAGATATGAAAACAAAATGGAAGTTAAGCATGTTGCTTTGTTTAGCCATTATCTAGTCCATGTTGTTGTTATGTGCCATTGAGTCGGACTGGATTCATAGTGACCCCTCCTTGGGTTTCCAAGACAGTATCACTACAGAAGTAGATTGCCCAACCTTCCTTCCGAGGAGTGGCTGGTGGGTTTGAACCACCAGCCTTCTGGTTAGCAGTCAAGTGCCTTAGGCACTACACCACCAGAGCTCTTCTTCAGAGCTCCTGTTATGTAATAATGAGGAGCTCTGGTGGCATAGTGCCTAAGTGCCTAGTGCCTAAGGCAGTTTTAAAGGTCTTTAAAGGTTTAAAGGTAATCTTTTGAAAGTCAAAGGTTTGAACCCACCAACCACTCTGCTGGAGCAAGATGTGGCAATATGTTTCCCTAAAGATTTATAGCCTTAGAAACCCTACAGGGGTCGCTAATCCTCTTTAACATGAGTCTGAGTAGACTTGATGGCCAAAAACAAAAACTCACGGCTATCGAGTTAATTCCAACTCACAGCGAACCTCTTTGGGTTTCTGAGGCGGTAAATCTTGGAAGTAGATTGCCCAGTCTTCCTTCTGCAGAGTGGTTGGTGGGTTTGAACTACCAACCTTGTGGTTAGCAGTCAAATGCCTTAGACACTATGCTACCTGAGCTCCTTAGACTTGATGGCAGTAGGTTTTAATCCTGGCCCATTAACCACAGGCAGAGGTTAGGGTTTATCATAAAATATAGGATAATTACATGAAATCACAAAATGGAGGACAATCATTCAATACTGGGAAACAGCCAAGTTGACGTGTGTTTGGGGAACATAATTCAATGCATGACATAAATTTTCACCTATAGCACAATATAATACTTCAAAAAGAGAAAACCCTATGGCAGCTCAGTCAATTGGCATATTTATGTTCTGTATCCTACTTAGGTAAGTAGCATCTGGTATCTTAAAAGCTTGTAAGCACCCATCTAAGATACTATTGGTCTCCAGTATTCCAGAGCAAAAGAGAATGGAAACAAAGACTCAAAGAACAAACTAGTCTACAGATCTAGTAGCTTGCATGAACTACAGCCTCTACCTTAAGACCAGAAGAACCAGACAGTGCGTGGCTACCACTACCAAGTGTTCTGATAATGGATACAACCTAATAGAATGGGAGAAAAATGTAGAACAAAACTCAAGTTCTTAAAAAATCCAGACTTCTGGACTGATGTAAACCAGAGGAAGCCCTGAGATTATCACCCTGAGATAGCCTTTAAATTTTGAGATACTCCTAGAGATCACTATTCACATAAATAATAGATTAGCTTATTAAAAAAAAAAAAAAAACAACAACAACAAAAAAAAAACTAGTATCACTATGCTGTGCTGTACTGTGCTCTTTTGAAAAATTATCTATGTGAAATCAGTCAACATTTACTTTAAATTAAAGATGAGAATGTAAGGGGGGTGGGCAGGGAAACTATATTAATGGAAACGGAACAACCAGAATGGAAATAATGAAAATGACTCTGGTAGCATAGTGCCTAAGGCATTTGACTGCTAACCAGAAGGCTGGTGGTTCAAACCCACCAGCCACTCCTCGGAAGGAAGATGAGGCAATCTACTTCCATAGTGATACTGCCTCAGAAAACAAAGGAGGGGTTGCTATGAGTCGGGTCTGACTCGAGGGCGTAACAACAACAACATACTGAAAAAGGTAACCAATGTCACTGAACAATTTATATAGAGATTGTTGAACAGGAACCTAATTTGCTGTGTAAACTTTCACTGAAAATACAAAACAAAAATAAGTCCTGTGATTTCTACTGTGTCACATGGAGTTGCTATGAATCTGAATTGACAGCATACTACAACAACAAGGACTCTTAGACACAGTTATCTAGTCACTGGGCCAGTGTCTGTCCATCAGGTATTAAGAAGAGAACTTTTACCTAGTAATAAAACAACTTACCTTTTTACACAATTCCCAATTTACAAAATTACCACCTGTATGAAATCACTGGAGAATTTCCTGAGTTTTAAAGTGAGTAAAATCCACTACTAGGAAGAAAGAAAAAACACAATTGTAGGATTTTTGTCTGACCAAAATAAATTGAGGGTTGTTGTTATGTGCCGTTGAGTCAGCCCTGACTCATAGTGACCCCTCCTTGGGTTTCCAAGGCAGTATCACTACAGAAGTAGGATTGCCCAACCTTCCTTCC